AGCCGCAACTGCAATTCTTACAGCTAATTTCGCCGTCTGTAGTCCCATTGGGTCGTCAATCCCATTGCCCTCCTACACAGTGAGCAGCAACCGTTCACTCTCCTCTCCTCTGCCTCAAATTCTTGCGTAATTATGCGCCCACACCGCTCACACACCAGTTTCCAGTCTGTCAGTGTCTATCCTGTCGCGCCAACCAGTCTAGTCTCTACATTTCACTTTTTCCTCTGTTTACTTCGTCCGACGACGCATTGGTGTCACCAGCTCGAAACTTCACGAGTACAACTCGATTTTTTTTCCAAAGAGCCATCTTCCTTCAGCACATAATCTAGCAATTCCTACTACCTCAGATATTTGAATGTATATTTGCACCAAAATCAATCGAGAATGTGTGTATTAATTCAGTAGTCCCTTTTTTATCGAGTGCAGTTCATGTAACCGGTGTCCTGACCTGGCTAAAATATATTGCGATTAAGCTGACGGATAATCAATATCACAACGCAACCTGATATTCCTTCCTAATCAGAGGCACATTTAGGAAATTCCGTTCGAATTTCATGAGATTAGTCACAGACCTATTGGTGGTGCATAGACAGTGAATTTAGGGTCAAACAGACACGTAGCTGCGGAGTTCCCACGAGGTACCTTGCCTGCATAGAAATGCTTTCCAGAAAATATGTTGCCATTAAACCCGACTGCAATGCCTTCAGCATGAGACCTGGTCTCACGACATATCACAGAATGTTTCGTAATTTACATACCGAAGGGAGTAAACGTAGCTGCACCAGTTCTAGGTAAAAGCAATTGAACCACATGACGCGACCATGAAGAGTCCATAGAAGAACATACACGCAAAGTAAGCAAAAACAACTGTTGTTATAATTCGCGCACATGAATAGGCGGCATGAGGGAAATCCCGAATGCAGTGCAGTTTCATCCGCCGTAAGCAGGTATGTAGTTGGCAGAGATGCGAAAGATGTCAGCAGACGACTTTTGTTTCAGTGCTGACTTTCTGGTTTTCAGGCAGGGCTTTGGGCAAGATACGTTTCCTGCGGTCTCGTGACATCCAATTTCGGGAGGAGGAAGAAGAGGAAGAAGAAGAAGAGGAGGAGGAGGGGGAGGATGAGGATGAGGAGGAG